AGGGGTGTACTCAGGGGGAGCATGGGGGTGTACAAGGTAGGACAAGCATAAGGAGACTCCCTGTGCAGCTCTTCGGCCCTGCAGCTCCAGGGTGACCCTGAGCAGCAGCCGCAGCGCCCCTCACCTGTACCACTGAGTTCAGGGGTGCCTGTGTGGACCGAGACTTGCCATCATCCTCCATCAGGCCAGTAGCCACGAAGCTGAAGCCACGGAACAGCTGGTGGGCACCCGCGCTGGGGGGGATGCCTGGGGAGTCTGTAAGGTAGAGGGGGACATGAGCCTGGGGAGGCAGGGTCCTCGAGGTGGCCTGGCCTGGCGGGGGCTTGCACAGGGCCCCCCTTCCCAGGTCATGCTCACTCACCCGCTCACATGTGAAAGCCTGGCCGGCCTGTGTGCGAGGAGCAGGGCAGACTCCCACACGTGCCCCCGGCCAGCCCGGGACCATCCTCCCCTTCCTGGACGCCTCCTCTTGGCCTCCCCACATAGGTCTGCTCTTCAGACGTCCCGGCAACAAGCCTGCCACCTCGCCTGTGCCCCGTGGATGCCCAGCTCTTCAGCTGGCCCGAGGACCCCACGGTGGCACCACGCTGGGCTTCCCACAGCCCTGAAGAGGCCTCCAAGCCACCTTGGACAAGCGGTTCCTCGTCCGCCCTCCAGGGTTCAGCCCACATGCCTCTCCTCTGGGAAGCCCAGCCAGGTGCTGTAGTCAGGCCCTTGTCCCTGTGAAGCTGTACTTGTCACACCTGTCAGCAATCCTTGTCACGTGCTGACGTGTCTTCTCTCAATGGTGAGAGTTGTACGAGGGCAGGGCCTGGGTCTGTCCCGTTCACTATCAATCCCCGAGGCCGGGCCCCCAAACCCTGGACGTGGTACGGTACCAGTCCATGGCTCACTAGAATCCAGGCTGCAGAGCAGGTGAGTGGCGGGCGGGCGGGCGAAGCCTCACCTGCTTCACCTCCCCATCGCTCCGTTACTGCCTGGCTCCGCCTCCTGTCGCATCAGTGGCGGCATTAGATTCTCACAGCAGGGGCCGGAGGGTGACATAGTGGTTAGGCTGCTGAACTCCCATGTGGGCAACTGTGGTTCAAATCCCGGACCCATCAGGTCAAGTGCGTGTGCATGCATGCCCAAAATCCCAAGAGGGGAATGGATTGTGGCATGGCTGTCCCCTACAGGGGGTGATTTTTCACTTTCTCTCTCCTTGTCTCTCTGGTGAGCACATGTGTCCTATAGCAAAAATCTCTTAAAAAAAAAACAAAACAAACAACAGATTCTCACAGGAGAACCCTGTTCGTACTGCACACGCGTGACCTGGCTGCACGTTCCTGCCTGATCTGAGGTGGAACTGAGGCGGTGATACCAGCACCGGGAGCGGCTGCGAATACGGCACTGTGGTGAGTTGTAGAATTATTCTATATTACAGCATAATAATTTTTTTTTTAATGAATCATCCCCAAACCATCCCCCACTCTGGTATGTGGAAAACTCTCCCACATTGGTCCCCGGTCCCAACCACAAAGGTCGGGGACTGCTGCCCTACGGCGAGCGCGCAGCAGGGATCCGGGACGCCTCTGTCAGGTAAAGGAATAAAGATGAGGCAGTCTGGAGAAGTGCTGAGTTTCCTGCCGTCAGGGGTATGTGAGCTGCAGCGAGAAAGCACCTCCTTTGCTAAAACCTGCCCTTCAACGAGACCTCCCAAAATGAACACCCCACCGCCCACCCACTGCCAACGCCGGGCCAGAACACCGGGAGTCACCGGGCTCCGTTCCAGAAGCCCCCTCACTGTTTCTTGTACCAGCTGGGGGAATGAGTATGTCTGTGGCCTTGCCCAAGTTCTAGATGGCACACTTGAACCGGCAGCTAAACAGCCAAAGGCAGCTCCCACGCCTGCCCTGACCTGTGGCGCTGTCCCCTCGGCTCTGCCAGCTGCCTCCACCACGCAGTTTTGCTGGGTCAGATTCTTTACCCCTGACGTGAGTGCAAACCCAGTGTCTGGTCTTCCCAGTGGGCTGGGAGACACCCGGGGCAGGGGTCTTGGGTTTTCTCTTATGGCCTTAACCACCCACACACCCCACGCCCTCACTCAGACACAAAGAGGCCACAGAGTCCCCGAGTGCTGTAGGGACAAAGTCAGAGTTCCACAGCCAGGCGCTCCCCCGCCTGTCCACCCCCACACCTGGGCTGCCAAAGTCCCTGACCACCCCCGGATCCCAAGTGCCCCCGACTGCCAGCTTCCCTCCGACGTCTGGGGTGGACGGCCAGGTAAGAGACATACCCTTGGGCGTGCGGGACGTGAACTCGGTATCAAAGTAGAAGGTGTCATCGGGCTGGGCCACGGCTGGCTTGAAGGGAGGCTTGATCTCACGACGGAACAGTTTCTGCAAGGCGGGAGAGGCGCTCGGTCACCGCAGCACCCCACAGCCTGCCAGGAGCCCCGTAAGCGGTAGGTACCGGGCCAGGGCCAAGGCTGGCCCAGCAGACAGTGGCATAACTGCTGGCCCAGAAAGCTGGCCCCAGCCTCCCGCGGCTGCTGCATCTGAGGGCCTAGTCAGAGACTCCCCACCCTGGGAGCTGCAGGACACACTCACGTTCCAGTCGATGGTGGAGTAGAAGACGTGCCGCTTGATTTCCTCTGCCCCGTCAGGGCCGGAGCCTGCAAGAGCCCAGTGAAGGCTTGCTCCTGGATGGTGCCTGCTGAGCGGCCCCCCACATGCTGGGACAGCTGCTGCAGCAGTGGGACAGGGCTCATCCTGCCCCAGATCCCCTAGGCACCACCTAAGGCTGTCACCCGCTTAGCACCTTCCGGGGACCGGGCTCCGATGACTAATGAAGAAGGAAGTCCCAGGGAGGTTTAGTAGCTTATCCAAGGCTACGATCAGGACAGAGGCTGGAGGGGGTCCCGCTCCTTTCCATAGGCCTCGTCCTAGGGCCCTTTCAACCTGAGACCGGCTCTCACTCCATCTGACCTCGGGGACCTGGGCTGGGTCTTACAGAATTCCTCGTGCCCCGGTGAGCCTGAAGTCAGGCATGAATCACACCGACACCCCTAGGGCGGGCATGCCCGCATGACCTCCTTTCATCAAGATGCTCTGCCAGCTAGCGGGGTCATGGTCTCCCACTGAGACGAGGAAGCAGGGGTCAGAGGGGCCAAGCCGCTGTCCTTGCAAAGGGCACTCCTTCGTCCTGAGTGCCAGGCAGCGGGGAGCTGACCCGGAGCCGCGCCTGGGACCGGAGCCCTCTGACTACGAGCTCAGGCTCGGTCTCCTGTGCCAGCAGCCTTGGCGGAGAAGCTGTGTAGGGGTCTCTGTCCTTGTCCCCAGAGGGAGTGGGGATGACTCAGTTCCTGCCTTCCCCCTACACAGGTCACCCCCGCCACCACGCGTGAGCCAGAAAGCAGGGTGGCCAGCGGCATTGTCTACCGAACAGAGGACAACGGCCCCTTTCAGGCCCAGATGTGGCCCTGTGGCCAGAGCTGCAGCTGTGCCCGCTCCCCACCACGAGTCCCGCCCGCCGGGCTGCTTACCGAGCCGGTTGGCAGGGTTCCGCTTGAACAGGGCCCGCAGGAGGCTCTGGGCTTCCGTGCTCAGAAACTGTGGCATGCCGAGCTTCGCCCTGAAACAGCCCCGGGTCTGGTCAGGGCTGAGCCGCCCGAGGCCCTGTGTCTTCTCCCCTCCCCGTCCAGGTCTAGTCCCAACTCGGCGCAGCCCAGCACCCACTCACCCCCTTCCCAGACCTCAGGGACCCCTGCGCGGGCCCCAGTGGACAGCAAGGAGGCTCTAGAAAGCTTGGTTAGCCAAGAGCCGTGTGTCGTTAATGAAGGATCCGAGGCAGGGGCGGGATGCCGTGTTCCCCTAAACGGGGCTAGGGGGTGGGGAAGACCCTGAGGTGTGGGGGCAGGGCTGGTGCTTACTTCAGAATCAGGGTCATGGTCTCCTTCCGGTCCTTCCCTTGGAAGGGCAGGGAGCCCGTCAGCATCTCGAACTGCAGAGGACAGGTTCTGTTCAGCCCTCCTTCCTGCCCCCAGCCCCCCGCCTCCTCCCACGCGGGACTGCTCCAGTCCCAAGGCTCCCGCTGGCCTACCGGACATCCAAGTCTATCTGGAGTAAGAACTGTGTGTCCCTGTCCCCCCACCAACCCAGATCTCCAGGAGCTGCACTGAGGGGTCAAAGGCCAGGGGAAGCCCTGGCTGGGGCAGCAGAGCCCGGCTGCGGCCAGGCCTGGATCCTCCCACGGCAGGCAGATGCACGCAGTGGTCGGACTGGCTGAGCGAGGAGGGAGGGTCAGCCCTGGAGGCAACCGACCCCCTCACTGTACAGACTGGAAACTGGGGCCAGAGGCTTGGCCCTGGCCACGCACTCACCATCAGCACCCCGTAGGACCACCAGTCCGCGCTGTGCGTGTGTCCCTGGCGGTTGACGACCTCGGGGGCCATGTACTCCACCGTCCCACAGAAGGAGTAGGCCTTCTTCTCGTGGTCGATGGCCTCCTTGCTCAGGCCAAAGTCTGTGGGGAGGAGGGCGGGGACACCCTCAGGGCCCTGCCTTCCTCGCCACCACCGTGCACACCCAGTGCCCTGCTCGGAGGTCTGAGGATATCACCATGATGGCCGGAAGGGAGCTAAGGCCCAGAGAGGGCAGGCGACTTACCTAAGGTGACACAGGAGGGACAAGTCTCGGAGGTGGGTTTCAACAACCACAACCAAAGCCCACCCCCCGGGCTCGCCAAGGCCTCTCTGGAGCCTGGTCTGCCCTCCCCTGGGCCCTGCACTCACCGGTGAGCTTGATGTGGCCCTCCTCGTCTAGGAGGATGCTGCGAGGGAGAAGCAGAGAGAGGCCCCTTGGCACCAGGGCCACAGTGGGCTCGGCTGGCACCCGGGGTTGTGGGCGTCTACACAGCCCTGCCCCCGGACAGGTGGGTGGAGCAGGTGGTGCCAGAGGGTGTGGCCTATTCCTAACGACCATGTGAGGGGACACCATCACAGTCCCATTTCCCAACGGGAAGATGCAACCTTGGGAATCAAGTGCCCATAGTCTTTGAGCTGGTGGTGGAGAGGCTGTGACCTCGGGTCTGTGCACCCTAAAGACAGACTTCACTCCACTTCCCACCCGTCCCAGCTTCCAAGGTAGCATCTGAGGACATCTAGATTAGAGGAGAATTCTAGAAGGAGCAGGCCACAGCAAGGGATGCCCTTCACTGGGGGTATCTCACATCACAATGGACAAACGCAAATATGGGGCCCCAGGCCTGCACGTGGTGCCTGGGCCTGGGCAACGGGTGAGCCGGGAGCTCACCATCACCCACCCCTCAGCAGGGGGCACCTTCCTGGGGACAGCCACACCCACATTCCCCTGGAACGCCCCCCTCACGGGGCTGCAGAGGCGCGTGGGGCTGGGGGCTTTACTCACTTCTCGGGCTTGAGGTCTCGGTAGATGATGCCCAAGCTATGCAGGTGGTCCAGGCCCAGCGCCAGCTCGGCCAGGTAGAACTTCACGTCCTCCTCCGTGAACATAACCTACGACGGTGGGGGGACCTTCAGCGGAGAACCTCCTAGGAGCGGGGCCACTAGGCACTGCAGCACCCTGGTCCAGGGTCCACCCCGGAGGGCCTGGGAGACCTTCCTACCACCAAGGGTTTTGCAGGATGAACTGACTAATCCACCAGCCACTCATGGCAGGTGCTTAGAAACAGCCAAAGGCTGGGAACAGCCCACAAGCCCAAGGAGGCGAAGGTTGGAATGACCCATCTCTCTCCAACACGGGGGGTGCCATGCACCCACAGACTGGAGCAAGAATTTCTCTGTGTTCTGGCCTGGAACCATCTCCAAACTAACTGCCTTGAAGAAAACAAGGTACAGGACAGAATGAGACTCTTCCCTTAAAAAAGGAAGGCTAGGGACCAGCAGTTGGCATAATGGCTATGTCGCCGGACTCCCATGGAGTCGACCGCGGTTCAAGTCCCGGACCTGGTGGCTTAAACTCATGCCAGGCACGTGTGCATACGTGCCCAAGATCCTGGGAGGAGAAGGGAAGAGAATGGAGGAGAAGGGGTTGCAGTGTGGCCATCCCCCTGGGGGGTGATTTCTCGCTTTCTGTCTCTCTGTCTCTCTCTGTCTTTCTGGCGAGCGCACATGCCCTATAGCAAAAACCTCTCAAAAAAAATTAAAAAAAAGGAAGGCTAGGTTGAGCCAGAAGGTGACGTGGAGGTTAAAGTGTTAGACTCCCACATGACTGAGGGTGGTTCGAGTCCTAGACCTGGTGGCTAGCTTTCTTACTTTCCTTTTCTTTCTGTCTCCCTGGTGAGCTCACATGCCCTATAGCAAATTAATAATAAATAATTCTTTGAGCAAAAAAAGAAACACAGGAACGATAAACAAGGAATCAATAAAAACATTTAGTGGTCGGCCATGTAGGAGCTCGGGTGAGAAGATTTCTCAAATGTGTTTGGGATCACGTAAGTGTTACTTATTCAAACATCACAACAACATTGTAAAAATAAGGTTTGGGGCCAGCAGACGACGTCATGTTACATCACGGGACTGGGGTCCAAGCAGACGCAGCTGCTTGAAACTCACACCGGGCGACTGTGCGTGCCTGCCCGAAATCCCAAGAGGGGAATGGAGGAGAAGGGACGGCAGTGCGATCATCCCCTCTTGGGGGGTGATTTCTTCCTTTCTGTCTCTCTGATGAGCGCACGAGCCCTACAGCAAAATCTCCAAATAAATGAATGAATGTTTGGTTTTCTTTAAAGTCTACATTGTATTAATGGTCCCGTTTTTAAATGTGGCTGGAATCCTACTAAATCAGTTCAGAATCCGTGGGGTGACCACGGAGGACAAGGACGCTAATGCCTCTAGCTTTTTGGGTGGATCTGGGTTTCTCTCCCATCCTGAGAGCCTGCCCGGGTGGCCCTGGCATGTCAGGGTGAGGTGGCGAGGGGCACCTCCAGCCGGGACAGCATCAGCTCCAGGCTGGATCTTCCTCACAACCTGGGGGGAGCTCTGAGAGGCCTTGCCAGGGTGTGGCCTCCACCCCAGGGCAAGTCAGTTTCCTGGGTTGGGGCTGCTAGGAGGCCCCTAGTGGCTCTGGCTCCAGCCATGCTGGCTCTTCACTGGCCCTCAGAGGGGAGGCCCACTGTTCCCCAGCTCCGTCCCGGGGCCCACTGGCTCACCTCTTTGGAGAGCCGCGTGAAGAGGTCCCCGCCACGCAGGAAGTCCAGGATGAGATAGAGCTTGCCTTCGGTCTGGAAGGCTGGAGAGAGGCAACAGCAGGATCAGCTGCATGTCGCCATCTGCCCTCTGGCCCCGGCTGCCCTGCCTGCCAGGCGGGCGGCCAGGACATTGGCTGGAGGTGGGAGCTGGGGCAGGGTCTGTGGCCTCACCGTAGTGCAGCTTCACCACAAACGGGTGGTTTACGTCGGCTAGGATGTCTCTCTCCATCTTGGTCCGAACTCGGTCACGCACTGGCAAAGAAGGAAGGCAGGCACCAGGAGTCTAGATGCCCAGCCCCACCACGCCCAGCCCCACCGAGGGTCCTTTTCCGCTGCTTCCTTGAGCCCAAGCTCCAAGGCTCCTGCAGCAGCTCTTTGCCCACCCTCCACCCAGCCATGCCCTGGGCTGGGGCCGTGGCACCCTGCTCGCCTCTACGCCTGTCTCCCACCACGCCCTGTGAGGAGCCTTCAATGAAGCCAGTCCGAGCAGCCTGCTCCCTGTGCCCCACTTTCCGAGAGCCCAGCCTTGGCCTCTGCACCGCCCCCATCCTAGCAGTCCCTCTCCCCTCGCATAAAACCCCCCAAGTCCCTAGTCCGATTAGCTGGAAAGACGCATCTCCTAGGCCTAGTCTCTGCATCATGAGTCTCGGTGGGCATTCCCCACACTTTCTTCGTGGAAAAAAAAGAATGCGAGTTGCAGGGAATTCTGATCACCAACAGGCTCTTTCTTGACCCAAGTCAGGCCTCACCTCCTCCAGGAAGCATTCTTTGAACTCCCAAGCTGGGTTAGGGCTTTCTGGGTTCCTACAGAGCTTACGCATCCCCTTCAGGGCACTTTTGGTTTTTTTTGGAGAGGTTTTTCGCTATAGGGCATGCGCTCGCCAGACAGACAGAGAGAGACATGGAGACAGAAAGCGAGAAATCACCCCCCAGGGGGGATGGCCACGCCACAATCCCTTCTCCTCCATTCTCCTCTCGGGATCTTGGGCACGCACGCACACGCACCCAGCGTGAGTTCTAAGCCACCGGGTCCGGGATGCGAACCGCGGTCGACTACGTGGGAGGCTAGCGACATAGCCATTACGCTAACTGCTGGTTCCCATCCCTTCAGAGCACTTTTAATCTTCTATTTTTATTTTTTTTAAACCCTGTTTTATTATTTTTTAAAATTTGACCAGAGAGAGGGAATGTGAGAAAGTGAGCCATCAGGTGCAGGACTCAAGCCACAGCTGGCCACATGGGACACTAGCGCCTTAACCACCACTGCCTCCTGGCTATCTATTTAATGCTTATTTTTATTATTTACTTTTTTAAACTTAAAAATTAATTTATTTAATTCCATTTGTTATTATTTTTTAATTTGACCAGAGAGAGGGAAAAAGGGAAAGTGAGAAAGTGACCCACTAGGTCCAGGATTCAAACCTCAGTCAGCCATGTGGGGATCCAGTGCCCTTAACCACTACACCACCTGCCAGCCCCTTAAACTTGTTTGTTTTTAAAGAATTATTTTATTTAACTATTATTAATCCATTTATTTATTTATTTTAATTTGACCAAAGAGTGGGGGAGAGAGAGAGAAAAGAGAAAGAGAGAAAGTGAGCCGCCAGGTCCGGGACTCGAACCATGGTCGGCCATGTGAGAGTCCAGCACCTTAACCACCACGCCACTTGCCAGCCCCTAAACTTGTGTTTTAATTGCCAGAGAGCACATACACTTGCCAGAGAGCAACAGAGGCAGAGAGAGAAAGCAAGCAACCCCTAGAGGCGTGGTCCTGCCACAATCTCTGATCCCCTGTCTCCACCCTGTCAGGATTTGGAGCACACACGTGCATCTGGCATGTTTTCAGGCCACCAGGCCTGGGACTCTCACTGCAGTCAGCCATGTGGGACCCAGCTGCCACATCAGACTACACGGCCGGTCCTCTGCTTAGGTCGTGTTCCCTCGCTAGGCACACAGGGCCCTGCTGGGAGCCGTCCCCTTAGCCCACCTCCCAGAAGCCCTCACACCGTCCAGCCTCCTCCACACTCGTGCTCCGGCAAAGCTCCTTCCCGGGTGGCCCTTGCTCCACCATTTTTGGTCCAGAGAACTAACTCATCCTTCAAGGCAGCTCACATGGCTACTCCGTAGGCGGCCCTGATCACTGAGCCCCGCGCCCCCTGCTCCGCGTGAGGCTGCCCTTAGCCTTCAGGGCCCCCAATCCCTCAGACCCCCATGCGCAGTGGCCGCAGCTGCCATGCCGCACAGCCGGGCCTGGTTCAGCCTCTCCGGCCCAGCAGTCTCTGCCCTCTCCTCTGAGGGCTGACGCCTACTCCATCAAGCTGGCCTCGGGGGCACCAGAGCTCCCATCACCCCCAGTCCCTCAGGGCCACGTGACCCTCTGACTCCCCTGCCTCATCTCCAGCCTGGGCTCGGCTCTGACTCCCCCCAGTTGGTGGCTGGACTGGTGTCTGGGACAGTCAGAGAATCAAACCCAAAGCCCACTCCCAACCATCCTCACGCCCTTGTAAGCCCCCAAATTCCAGACCTGAGCTTGAGGCTCCCTTCTGAGCCTCTCTGCCACCGAACTCCACAGCCCTGCGTCGACTCCTACGCTGGCCTGGCCACCACCCTGGGCTCCTGCTCCTCTCATGGCCTTCCTTGCTCAGCTGGGGGCCTCCCTCAGACTCTTCAGGTATCATGAAGCCACGCGGTGACAGCACGTCGGCCTGAACCCTGCTACGAGGGCACCCTGCTTCCCACAAACACACTGCACCCACCCCTCTGGCTCCACACACACGTTCACCTTCAGCCAGTCACTGGCGCTCAGCTTGGCGGAACAGCTGAGAATTGAGTGGCTTCTCCACCTTTTAACCAGGGCTCCCGAAGGCAGAGCACCTCCCTGATCAGAACCAAGCCCCCCACCATCAGAGCCTGCTCCCTCCATCCTGGGCTCGGTTCAGGGAGGTGACCACTCACCTTTCAGCGTGGCCTTCTTTAGCACCTTCATGGCATATAAGTGCCCACTGTCAGGTCGGGTGACCTTCCGTACCAGGAAGACCTGAGAGGTGGGAGAGGCAGGGTGGAAGCTGGAGGGGCTAAACCTATGGGCTTCCAGTCCCAGGTTTCAGGGTGACCTCGAACCCTCGTCCTCTGGTCCTTAGGCCCCAAGGTAATCCTCAGCTCCTTACCACTGACCCACCCGGTGCTGCCCTCCCGCCATGGGGCTGTGACTCACTTTGCCAAAGGATCCCTGGCCCAGAACCTTGAGGAGCTCGAAATGGGACGGATCGGCCTTGTCAGAGCCGGCCTTGACGTGGTGCGTGATGGCGATCTCCTTGAGGACGCCCTCATCCTGACGGGGGGATGGAGCCGGTGGGTACGGCGGGCCAGGCGGGCCGGGGCAGTGTGGAGTGCAGCCCCATGCCCCATCCAGCCCCTTCCCACAGGCCTCAGGGGGAAGCCCGTGGGCCCAACACACAGCCACGCCGGCAGACCCGGGCTCTAGATTCGGCTGGGAAGGTCAAACAAGGGCCGGGCCGGGCCGGGCCCGCTCCGCTCCTGTAGCTCCAGCTGCTCTGGCCTGGCCAGAGGTGCCCAGGCACGGCCAGGCCGGCCAGGCAGTCAACCCCAGGCCCTGATGGAGGCCCAGGGACTGGGGCCTGGTCGGCCCTACGGGGCTCCCCAGCCCCTGCTGCTTTGGTTCTGCCTCAGTAGGAAGTGGGGTTTGCTCTCACGATGGGAGGCAGAGCAGGGCCTGTGTTGCTGGCCAGGAGGGGATGAGGGCACCCCTGTGGGCAGCAGGGTAGGGCTGAGCGCACGGAAACCCGAGAGCCCTGGACATCAGGGACTCGTCAGCCCAGGAAGTTGGGGTGAGGGAGGGTTAAGATAAGAGGCGCCATGGCCTGCCTTCCCAAACGTCCCTGACAAGCCCAGGAAAAGCCCCTTGCCAGGTGCCGGCTGTTCCCGGACCCCTCTGCCACCTTCCGATCTGCTGGTACTGTCCTGAAGCCCTCATGGGCCTCACTTCTCCAGGAAGCAAGTCTGGGCACAGTCCAGGTACCCAGCAGGGTCAGGCTGGCCGGGAATGCCCAAATGCTGAGCTGCCCAGGCACCTGCTCCCGGGGGTCAGGTGGGCATACTCACCAAGTCCTGCCGGGGGCCAGGGCCAGGGCCAGGCAAAGAGGGCTGGCTCACCGGGCGCCGCTGCTTCCTGGGCAGCCAGGGGAGCAGGGCCCAGAGCCGCAGACGGGGCGACTTGGGATCCTGCTCCATCCGCCCAGCAGGGCCGCGGCACCATGGCAGGAGCAGGCAGCGGCCAGGGCTGCTGCGGAGGTGGCCGGGCCCAAGGCGGATGTGCAGGGTGAGGGCGGGGGCTGGGTCTGGCCCAGGCAGCCAATCACTCAGGGCCTGTGGTTTCCCAGCTCCTGGCCTACACCCTCACCACGCTCCCTTCTCCTCTCCCCCCAGGGCCTGAGGGTTGCCCTTGGGCCCTCCCATATGGGCTTGGGGAGGAAAGCCCCGTGCCAACCCAGCTGCGAGCAGGTAAGTACCCAGCGGGCAGTTGGGCGCCTAACACGCGGGGCAGGCTGGGAGAGACAGCGACACTCACAGACAGGTGCCAAACATGGACTCAAGGGAAGGCGAGGACTAACAGGCAGGGGCGGGTAAGGGCACGGCAAAGGTGGGCCGTCTGACAGCGCGGTGGACGGAGACGGGAGCCCAAGGCAGAGACAGAAGGGGACACGCACCCAGCATGCACCCAACAGGTGAAGACAGGTCCCCCTCACCCAGTGGGAACCGAGAGGGGCCCGACCAGAGACAGGGCAGTAGGGAGCGACCACGAGTCAGTGAGGCCCGAGCAGGTGACACAGAATGGGGCAGGTGGTCGACCGCCGGGCACACCCACAAGAGGCAGGAGCGCAGGCCCCAGAAGGGGACAGGCACAGCGCAGGGTCCCGCTAGTGGACCTGGGCCCGGGAGGAGAAGGGGACGCAGCCCACCCAGGGCAGAGACAGTGGTGGCTGACCCCTCTCTGAGCTCTTCTGTTTCCTTAGGGTGTCTCTCAGATGCCAGAGTCTGAGGGGGCGCAGAGCGATGACAGTGACTGAGAGGACCACCTCCTGAGAGCCACCGGGAGACGGATCCGAATGTCCTGAAGTTGCCATTGCCGTTTCAGGGACAAGAGACTGAGGGCAGAGTCTCACCAAAGCAAACCTGAGCCAGCTGGGGCCACGTCCCCCCCGGCTCCTTGCTGCCTGGCCAAGGTGGGCAGGCCTCAGGGGCCAGGGCCCTTCTGCCCTCCCCTCAGTACTGGGGCAGTCTCGGGCTTCCCAGTCCAGGTCTGGACCTCAGAGACACAATCCTGTCTTTCAGGATCCCCCCACAGCTGGGAAAATGGGAGTAATGGCCCACAAAAGTCCCCCCAGTGCCCACGCTAGCCAGGCCGCTGCGGCAGACTCCGTGGGAGCACAGGAAGGACAGGCCTAGCTCGGGGGGCTGAGGTGGCCAGAGCCACAGTGAGCCCTGAGGGCTGAGCCTCCACCTCGGCTGCCTGCTTCTGCTGAGAACACTCCCTGGGGACAGAAGCAGCCACCCGGAAACCTCAGGGGACACAGATACCCCAAACCGGTCCTGGCCCAGAGTCAGGGTGACAGGAATGGCTAGAGGCAGGCCACCCTTCTGCTCACCTTTCTGGGACAGGGGGCAGTCTCTCTCTCCCTGGGAAAATCTGCCGGGGTCTGCATGGCGGGGCTCAAGCCAGTGGCCGGAGGGCCCGTTAGGTTACGCCTGCCTTACTTCTGCTTTTTTTAGCCTTCCTGGCCCAGAGGGCAGGGTCCCGGGTCCCCCTCCTTCTCACTTCCCCCTCCACAGGGAGGAGGGACAGCGGATGGGTCAGGCTCCCCTGCTGAGTAGACACTGCAGACCCCAAGCCCATCACCCTGGGAAGGGCTGGGGTATGACCCTCCCCGTCTCCTCTGCACCCAAGGAGGCCAGGCAGGAGACACGCTGACAAGGCTGCGGCAGGCAGGTGTCCCGGCACTTTCGAACATCCACCTGGGGACACGGGGTGAAGTCGGCCAGGCCCGGGTGCCCCTCCCCCATTGCGACCTTCCCTGGCTGGGAACGGCAGCCCACGGGGCAGGCCCCTCACTCAGATGCCCTGAACAAGGAGGCCAGAGCTGGCCCGAGCTCCCAGGGGAAGCGGGCTGCTGTGGGCCGGGGCAGGGTTGGCCGGGCCAGCCCCCTTCCACGTGACCGCTCATCACTCACAGCAGCGCACCCACAGAAACTGACACACAAACGCACTGGGCTGATGATCGGAAACCTCTCCACAGACATCCCGTGTAGAAAGGCACACCCCCGCGCGCGGACTTCCCCTCCGCCCCTCGGCAGCTAAGACGGGTGGAGGGGTGCAGGCTGCGCACGGTGCCTCCCCAGGCCGGACCCTCTCGCTGTGTCCTCGAGCAGCTTGTGGGGCCAGCTCCGGTGGCCAGCAGTCCCTCCGGCCCCTCCGATGCAGAGAAGAACCTCTGTGGTTAACGGGGCACCAGAAGGGGCAGCAGGAAGGAAACAGTCTCAGAACTGCCTTCCCCGAAGGGCGTGTGGGGCCCAAGGCCTCTGGTGGCAGGAGGGGGGACAGCCACCAGCCCACATCCCGTGGTCCCTGCCCCATTTCCCCAGACTTCCTCTTTATTTACTTCCTCCCCAGGGTAGCTGGGAGAGAAACCCTGAGGCCCCCAGGCTGATCCCCCGTCCCTATGGCCCCGCCCTCCCTGGACCTCCCTCTGCCAATCCCTGGCTCTAGGACCCCAACAGCCCCCCAAGCTGGCAGCATCGGCAGAGCCTCCAGGAGCTAACCCCGCTGTGGGGCAGAGGTCTCCAGATGTGTCACCCAGCATGCCTCTGCAAGGGTGAGGCTGGGTCTGCAGTTCCGGGCATCCTGACAGGGGTAGCCAGCCTCAGGCACTGGGTCAGGACTGGCAGGGGCTGACAGAGAACCATGGCTCCAGCTGACGGGGTGCCACTGCGCATGGCCACGGATTCCTTCAACTTTGGCTCCCGCCTGCTCTCAGCGCAGCCTGGTCGCCTCCATTCCAGAGATGAGAAAGCTACACCCTGAGAGAAAGTGACCGGCCCAAGGTCGCATGGCCAGGAAAGGGGAGAGCGAAGAGCAAGGCCTTGCTTCTAAAGCCCACAGTCTAGCATATTCCAACCACGGCCTCCGGCGGACCCTACCCACAGCTCCAGGCCAGGAAGCGCCAGGCTCAGGCAGATCCTGCTTTGTCCTCAGGCAGCTCCAAAAAAACGAGGTGGTAACTGCCCTGCCACAGCCAGCGCTTCCTGTGTGCACTGTGACTATCTGCCAGAGGGTGACATCCCAGAAGAGGGGCAGAGAGGGGCAGTCCTGCCGGTCCCGAGAAAGAACAGGTATCGGCCAGGAGAAAGCAGGAAAATAACGAGCCCCTCGGCCCCGCACTGGGTGACGACGGTGTGTGGTCGGTGTGGTCGGCGGAGCCCTGCAGCGGGAAAGAGCCCAGAGGGAGCGAGGGGCTGGAGCCGGGTGCGGTGGACAGCACTGGCAGAGTGCCCTCAGGCAGGTCTCTGCCCACTGAACTCAAGTTCCTTTCTCACTAAAATAAAGGTGAAAACTACGTACTGCAAAGGTTCTTGCAAAAGCAGAAGGGCCACAGAGACCTTATGAACAAAACTTCTCCCTGGGGCCAGCAGGTGGCGTGGCCATGCCTGGCCATGGTTCGAGCTCTGGACCTGGCGTCTTGCTTTCTCACTTTATCTTTCTGGTCAAATTAAAATAAAGTGAAATTAAAAAAAAAAAAATTCTTCCTGGTTGAGTCTGATTGGTATGGGGGCTTCCCCTGGGAAGGGCAGCCTCCTTCCATAGGGCCCCAGGGGCTGGCCCACCCTCACTAGTCCAAGAGAACTTCCTCCCAACACCTGAGGCTCCCCCAAGTCCACAGTCACATCCTGCCTAAGCTCTGGCCGGGATCGGGAGCAGGAGGGATCCGGGAGGGATCAGGGTTTCATAAACAGGAAGAGAGGAGGGGAGGGGGGAGACAGTCAACTCTCAAAATAGACCTGCAGGCACTTCAAAGGGGTCCAGCTCCGGAGACAGCTGAGGGAGGGGGCCTGGAGTGCCCAGTCCACTCCCAGGAAGGGAGGGAGGGCGAATGCAGCCCTGGTATGGCCGGGGACACCAGGTCCTGGAGGGTTTCGGGGTGTTTTCACCCTGGACTGGCTGTCCACACTACTGCTGCAAAGCCCCAAATCCCCCTTTCTGCCTGAAACGAATAAAATAAACAAGCATTCGGGCCAGCAGGTGGTGTAGAAGCTGGCTGAGCAGTTCGAGTCCTGGACCTGGTGGCTTGAAACACACACCAGGCGCATGTACGTGCAAGCCCAAAACCCCGAGAGAGAGGGACCAGCAGTTAGCGTAATGGCTATGTCGCTGAATTCCCATGTAGTCGACCGCAGTTCAGGTCCTGGACCCAGTGGCTTTAACTCACACCGGGCACGTGTGCGTGCGTGCCCAAGGTCCGGAGGAGAATGGAGGAAAAGGGATTGCAGCGTGGTCATTCCCCCTGGGGCGTGATTTCTCACTTTCTGTCTCTCTGTCTCTGTCTTTCTGGCAAGTGCACGTGCCCTAGAGCAAAAACCTCTCAAAAACAAACAAACAAAAAATCCCAAGAGAAGAATGGAGAAGGGACGCAGTGCGGCCACCTTGCCCATCCCCAGCCCTGACTCCCTTCCGACCCAGGGTCTTCCTAGAGCAGGACTCCCAGGCTCGATAGCAAATGCAGCTCACCTGCCTGGTTAGTGCCTGCCCTCACCCCTCACCCCTCGAGCCCCTGGGGGAGAGGCTGCACTCCCTTCCAGGCTCCCAAGCACTGCAAGCTCCTCTGCGACCTCAAGAACTTCAGCCCAAGCTGAACATCCTGGCTCTCCATCAAGAGCTAGCTGGGCTTGGGACCAGCAGTTGGTGTAATGGCTACATGGCTGGACTCCCATGTAGTTGACCGCGGTTCGAGTCCCGAACCCGGTGGCTGAAACTCATGCCGGGTGTGCCCAAGATCCTGAGAGGAGAATGGAGGAGAAGGGATTGTGCTGTGTGGCCATCCTCCGGGGTGTGTGTGTGTGTGAGTGTGTGTGTGTGATTTCTCACTTTCTGTCTGTCTGTCTTTCTGGCAAGCGCACACACCCTACAGCAAAAACCTTTCAAAAAAAAAAAAGAAAGAGAGATGGTTGGGCTATACCCGGGGTCAGTCCTCATGACCACGCAAGCTTGCCACAGTAGCCGAGAGATGAGGAGGTGGGGGCTACTTCTCGCGCCCTGACCTGCCCCACCCAGCAGCTACCTTATCTTAGGAAGCTGAGTCAAGGCAAACATCGGGGCCAAGCCTGATTCCATCTCAAAGGTCAAGCTTCAGGCAGGTCTGGTGCCTGTGCAGACCCAGGCCTGCAAGGTGGGGCGGCTGGGAGGCGGCAGAGCTGAGCAGTGCGCTCCCTGGAAACCACTCCATCCTTCACAGACTTCTGGGAGAACAGAGCTCTTTCACCTATTCCGCTTACAGACGAGGAAACTGAGGCTCAGAAGGGAGCAGAGCTTCTGGTCAAATGGAAGGGGTGGAGTGAGGACTTGGCCCTGACCCGGGCTGAGCCCCTGCCTAGCCAGCAACCTCGCAAACACCCTGTCAATCGGGGTGGTCTCTCCCACTACAGGGCTCCAGCCAAGGCCATCCTGTCGCCCAGCCCAGGGAAGGCAGAGAAGCCGTGGGGAGGCAGGAGTCTCAGGTGAGGAGTGGTACATGTGCCGCCTGCCAGGCACTGGGCCTGGTAAGACTTGAGAAGCCACCAGGCTCCCTGCACTGCCCACCCCGTTTGTGCGCCCAGAGCTTCCAGGCACTGTCCGGCCCAGGTTCTCAGGGAGGGCAGCACAGCTGGCCCGCGTCTCTCCACTGCTCCTTCGAGTGGACCCAAGTTCCGGGAGTAACTGAGTCGAGGGAGTGCTGCGGCCGGAGTGAAAGGAGCCCGAGTTCTGGCCTGAGTCCTGCTCCTGCCCCCTCCTGGGCCATGGTCCCTCACCTATGAAACAGGGAGGTTAAAGCAAGTGACTTCTACACCCAGGGGTGCCCTGAGGATAAGCGGGATCTGAAAAGGGCTGAGCTGGACAAGGTAAGTGGCCAGGGACCTGAGCCCAGACGGGCCGAAGGCAGCCTCTCCCCTGCTCCAAGGCTGTGCAAACACCTCTACGGTCCCCAGCCCAGGGCGCTGGCCCTGGTCCTCACCTTGGATGACTGAAGTCCAGCTTCTTCCCCTGAGGCCTGTCCATCCTGGGAAAGAGAAGCGAGATTGGGGAAGCGTGGTCAGACCCCCTTGCATGGGCGAAACACACTCCAAAGGGCACCCTGCCCTCGGCCACACCCAGCAGCCAGGGGCTGTGAGGTGGGCAGCTCTGAGTGCCACCCCCCCCCCCCCC